ATGAGAAGTTGGCATAGTATTGAAGACGTGTTTAAGAAACTACGTTTGCACAGTATTCCTTTTCTTATCAAGAAGAGATCGAATGTGATTTTTTAGCAGACTGGTTAACATATAAACCCCCGAAATTTATAGAAAGGTGGGGTTCTTTAGAAAATCTCCCTCCCATCGCACCAAACTCACAAAGTTTCTGGAAAGGTTCGTTAGAGTCATATAGGGATAACGGCGTCGCCATAGTCGGAAGAACTAAGTGGAACTTCTCCACCCTTACAGTCGTGCCGTTATCTCTAATCATTATATGAGAGCTAGGTTAGTGTCAAAAGTAAGCTACTTTCAGTCGAAATCGAACCCAAGCCTTGCTGCTGCCGCTTCTGATCCGCTGCCACAACCTGCTCCATTGCATCAACAACGTGATCATAACCTTCTTGGGGTGAATATCAATCAGAATCAAGTACGGTTTTAATTACATAGATATTAGGGATTGTCATCATAGATTTTTTGAATTTTGAAATGAATTCAGCATGTGCAACCGCTTCACTCTCCACCGGTGAATTTTCATCGCGACCGAGGCGACCCAGATCTGCGAGATGAGGAGTAAAGGACGGCGATAGTTGCATGCTATACGAGTTGTCTTGTACCTATCCATCGTTGCTTCAAGTAACGCTTCTGGAGTCGTGCCAGCGGAAGCGACCACTCCATCCATATAGTTGCGTTAATTTCAAAAATCGTGTAAAATCAGAAGTACTATGCTTACAAGCAATGCTTTGTATATAACTGTTGACTGTCGTTCCTATTCTTTGCCTTGTACTTATTGAATAATCATTTTGTCTTCGGAAGTCGAGATCGAATGTTGTCGAGAGAGCATCGTTGGACAGCCCACTAATATTTTGGCTAACTGCCGGTGTCTTATAAGTGCAAATCCAGTCTATCCGCCTGTTGCTTTGCTTTGTTCGGTGCTGTACTTCTAGTGGTACCAGCGAGATCGCCTCAGCTTGTAGAGCGAGACTGCGATATGACTGAATTGAATACTTATGAGTCATTTGTTTGTTTGCGAAATTTCTATTTCTTGTCCTCGTTCCTTTATCCAACGCCTATACGACTACCGATCGATTACTACTTGAACCAACTCTTTTTCAATCAATTGACATGTACACGATGTTCACTTTGCTCCCATATTGGGTATGTCAGCTCTCTTTGAAGACTCGCTGCGAAACTGCTTTGTGTACGCACGTTATTCTAGTGCTCTATTAGGATATTTTCGGTTTCGTGATGATATCACTGGACAATCCATGCACTTGATTTTCGTCGCGAGACCCTCTTTCATGCCTTGTTAAGGGCCTGTGCCATATTCATATACTCTGAGCGTGCTACGTACTGCGGGAATATTTTAGATATGGCACATGCCCAGGAACGACGAGCTGTCCGCCTTCCGCCCACTGGTTTTTTTGCATTATTATTATGCTATTATAATTATTATTATTATTCGAGTTGTGCTCTGTACCTTTTCAGTTATACATGTACTTAATAAATGAATGAATACTGCACTATAAGATTTATGCTTTTGTTGCAAATCGATTGTTGCATTCGCTCGTACGTTCTTCACCTTCTTATGAGAAGACG